TCTAATTACCACAGACTGGTATAGTAGGTGGTGGGGGCGGGGAGGGTGGGGGGAGCGGGAGGGGGACCAGGAAGAGGTTTGCTTTTTTTTAAAAGAGATGACTTTGCCTTTGTTGTGACAGACTGAACTGGCTAGGCAGGATCAGGTTTGGGAGAGGGTCAATAGAATGAAGTGGTGTGCAGTTACCTCATGGCTGCCAGCTACGAGGTTTGGTTTAGGTTAGTTAACTGAGGCTGGAATGAGACAGCATAGTTCATATGTTTAAACACCCAGGATGAGATTTGCCAGAGCTCAGAGAGTGAATACGAGTAAGTCTAGCATGTAGAAACTAAGCCAGCAGGATGTTCCAAACTGATGCTAGGCACATTCATACCAAAGATGAGTGTTAGGTTCGGGTGGGGAGGGAGAAGAGGGAGAGATCTTTAGATATCTATAGCAATTGATACTGAACCAGAAATTTGAAATTTAGATTTCACTCTGTCATGCCTACTCCCCGGACACTTCTTAGATACAATGCAAAAGCCATATGCTACTGGGAGAGAGGCAAGAAACCTGTTTGCCCTTCTAGTCCTACGCAAAGATTGGCTGCTGTGGGGGAAGGGCTATGAATCTCCCCTGCTTTGCAGTTAAATGGGGCAAATGCCATTTGCAGTTGAAAGAGATCTTTTTGCCCAGGATTCTGCACTGGTGCACTGATCCTCTACCTCTGGCAGAGGAACAGGAAACTTTCTCATGCCTGAGATTTTCCACAAGTACAAGGCAGAACTTGGCTTCCCCATTGGAGGGATTTGGGGAAGGGCAAGAAAGTTTATTGTACTTAATACCCTGAACTGAGTAGGAAGCAGAGGTTGCATGGCAATGGGCTACAGGGAGAAATGCTAAGAATTTCTTGAGTTTTATATGTGCGGTGCTAGGCTAATACTGAGGTTGGAGCAGGAGAATTGAGAAATTCCCCTTCACCAGTCCACATAACAAAGAAGCAGTAGTAGCAGGCTGGCAGTCTACTGCTAGAAGAGTGGATGGAGCATGGGAAGAAACGCAGACACCCTGCAGTGCTTGTGTGCAGGTTCTTCTTAGGTCCCACTACAAATTGAGAGTGGTTTGTAAACGCTGAGAAAACCTTTTTGATACAAAAAAAAAAAACCAAAAAAAAAAACACTTTCATTTCTATATGGATTTAGATTACAAAATTATGCATGTAGAATTCCCATATAAAACCCACCTAGTTTTACCTGTTGTTACACTAGTAAGATGCAATTTTTATAAGTAGATGTAATTGTTATAAGATAGAATTGTTATAAGTAGTAAACCAGTATTGCTACATTATTATAAATGAAGTTTATACTTTATTCAGATTTTCTTAGTTTATACCTCACTGGTCTTTTTCTTTTGTAGTATCCTATCTAAAGTAGGAACTACATTGTATATTAGTCATCATATCTCTTCAAGCCCCTGTAGACTATGACAGTTTCTCAGATTTTTTTTTTTTATGATAGTTTTGAGGAGTACTGGTCAGGTATTTTAGAGAATGTTCCTGCATTGGTTGGGGTAAAAATTTTTTTGATTTTTTTTCTCATGATTAGACCCTCATTTGGCATCAGTTTTGAATATCCTGGACTCACAAAGGACTGTGTGGACAGCAGCCTATCAAAGGAGGAATTATTATCCTATGGTGCATCAACACTAGTTATAGCAATAGTAAAATACAGACACAACCCAACCACTGATTAGATTTATCCAGTCCCCCCATGCTAACACCCTAAAAGAAGTAGTTACCCACTTCCAGGTAGAAGTATTGTTTATCTCAGTTTTTTTAATACATAAAGTTTGGGTTCAATAAAAAATTATGACATAGACACACTCACATAAGATAAAAAGGTGACTGTTCAAGATGTAAAATAGTCAACAAAATCTGACATGGAAAATTTAGACAGGGACTTTGAAATAATTATGATTACTGTATTAAAAGATTTAATGGAAAAGGTAGACAATATGCATAAATTGTGATGTGGAAGTTTAGTAGAGTGATGGAATCTGTAAGAGATGGAAATGCTAGAAATGAAAAACAATATCCTATAGGAAAAAAATTTTCTGTGGGTTTATCAACAGACTTGACACACTAGAGGAAAGAATAAGTAATCTAGAGGATAGACTAATAAAGCCTTTCACCTGAAACAGAGCAAAAAGAGTGGAAATAAAAAATGGAGCATTGATGTAGAAAATTTTCTAACAATCTAACATATTTCAAGAGAGAGAAAATAGGATAGAAGAAGCACTAGAAGAGATAATGGCTGAGAATTTTCCAAAATGAAAGCCAACCACAGATTCAGTCAGAATAAATATGAAGAAAAGCATACCTACATACATAGAAGTCAAACTGCTGAAAATCAAAGAGCAAGTCTCGAAGACAGAGAAAAAAAGAAATATTCATAGAGAGGTACAACAGATAAAAGCTCAGTGCATTATATGTCAGAAATTTTGTTAGCCAAAAGAATGAGTGACATCTTTAATCGAATTGAAAGAACAAACACCCTCAACCTAGAATTCTATATCCAGGAAAAATATATTACAAAACGGAAAGCAAAATTAAGACTTCGTCAGATGAAACAAGAGAAGTTTTGCTAGCATAACACAACTATCTGAAGAGCTTACAGCAGGCTCTTCAGACAGTAGGAAAGCTGTTCAGATAGTGGGAATATGCTGCTCTATAGAAAGAACATTTTTTTTCAGCTGGGTGCTGTGGCTCATGCCTGTAATCCCAGCACTTTGGGAGGCTGAGGCAGGTAGATCACGAGGTCAGGAGATTGGGACCATCCTGACTAACACGGTGAAACCCCATCTCTACTAAAACTACAAAAAAGTAGCCGGGTATGGTGGCAAGTACCTGCAGTCCCAGCTACTCGGGAGACTGAGGCAGGAGAATTGCTTGAACCCCGGAGGCAGAGGTTGCAGTGAGCCAAGATTGCACCATTGCACTCCAGCTTGGGCGACAGAGGAAGACTCCTTCTGGAAAAAAAAAAAAAAGGAACATTATTTTTCTACACAAAGGAATGATGGACACCAGAAATGTAAAAATATGAGTAAATAGAAAAGACTTTTTTTTTCTTCTAATCTTTTGAAATGAGATTAGAGTACGGGTTGACAGTGAGCCTGTTATGGTTTGGCTCCATGTCTCCACCCAAATGTCATCTCAAATTGTAATCTCCACGTGTCAGAGGAAGGGCCTGGTGGGAGGTGATTGGATCATGGGTTCCTTGCTGCTATTCTCATGATAATGAGTGAGTTCTCAAGAGATCTGATGGTTTTAAAGTGTGTGACAATTCCCTGCTTGCTCTCTGTCTCTCTCCTCTTCCACTATGGTAAGACTGCTTGTTTCCTCTTCACCTTCTGCTGCGAGTATAAGTTTCCTGAGGCCTCTCAGTCACGATGTCTGTTAAGGCTGTGGAATTGTGAGTCAATTAAACCTCTTTTCTTCATAAATTACCCAGCCTCAGGTGGTTTTTTATAGCAGTGTGAGAATGGGCTAATGTGAGCCAAATTCAACCTTGTTTTTGTGTAGCTGTGAACAAAGAATTTTTTTTAAGGATTGTAAAAAAAGTTTTGAAAACAGAATAATCATTGACTATGCAACAGAGACCATAATGGCTTGCAAAGTCTAAATTATTTGCTATCTGGTGCTGGTTTAAAGCAAAAATAGTAATTTTATATTATGGGGTTGTAACATGTTAAACATTTGGCAATAATAGTTTAATGGATAGGAGGGAGGAAATGGACATATACTGTTGTAAGGTTTCTATGCTATACATGAAATAGTATAATAAAATTTCACAGTAGACTATGATAAGTTAAGAATGTATATTGTGAATTTTAGAGTAGCCATTGGGGAAAAGTATAAAGCACAAGATGTAATTAAGCCAATAAAATGAAATCATGAAAATGCTCAACTAATATAAAAGAAGGCAAAAAAATTTAAAAAGGAAAAAAAGAACAGGTGACTTTTTTAAAGTATGATAATACGTAAATACCCATTCTTAGCGATAATTTCACTAAATATTATTAGTTAAAAAGCAGAGATTATAAAATTGGATAGTAAGCAAAACCCAATTTTGTGCTGTCTGCAAGAAATCATTTTAAATACAGAGACATACCTATATTAAAACAAAAAGGTTGGAAAACACTATGCCATGCAAACCCTAACCAAAGGAAAACTGGAGTGGTCTGGGCTCATGCCTGTAATCCAAGCACTTTGGAGAGTGAGTGGATCACTTAAGGTCAGTAGTTTGAGACCAGCCTGGCCAACATGGTAAAGCTTTGTCTCTACTGAAAGTACAAAAATTAGCCAGGTGTCGTGGCTCATGCCTGTAATCCCAGCTACTCCGGAGGCTGAGGCAGGAGAATCACTTGAACCTGGGAGGTAGAGTTTGCATTGAGCCATGATCGTGCCACTGCATTCCAGCTTGGATGATAGAGGGAGACTCTGAAAAAAGAAAAAAGAAAAAAATAGAATAAAAAAACAAAAGCCAGAAGTGGTTTTATTAATATCAGTACAGTAGACTTCACAATATTACCAAGTATAAAGCATAGTATCACACAACACATAATGATAAAGGGATTAGTTCATCAAGAGAATAAGAATATATCAAGAAAAAGGCCTATGTACACAATAATAGAGCCTCAGAATACAAAAGCAAAAACTAATAGAATTGTAGGGAGAATAGACAAATCCACTAATAAAGTTGGAGATTTCAACACTCATCCCTCAATGATTGATAGAACAAGTTAGCAAAGATTAGGAAGCACACAGAAAGCTTCAGCAACGCTACCAGTCAGCTTGACTCAATCAATATTTATAGAGTGCTCCCATCAACAGCAAAATACAGTTTTTTGTCCAAGGGCATATGACATCCTCATTGTAGACTATATTTTGAGCTATTAAATAAATTTCAGTAAGTGTAAAAGCATTGAAATGATGCAAATTATGTTCACTGACCACAACAGACTTAAACTAGAACTCAAAAACAGAAGGATACCTAGAATTTCCTCAAATATTTGGAAATTTGATAACATTTAAAAGTCTTAGTGTTTAGAAATTAATATTAGGTTTAATATGATTCTTTAATAATGAAGAACATCAAGTTCTCTCTGTGCAGGAGAGTGAGAGGACTTTTTATTTTTACTCCTGGAAAGACATGATTTGTACCAGTCACTTGTGTGGGCATAATATTTTTGTCCTAAATATTAAGTCATCATTTCCTCCTTATTGTTAGGTAACCCAGAATGCTAGGTGTTCTCTAACAGAAAAAAAAATAATTATTTGGGTCTGCAGTCCTGCTAAACTTTTGGAGATTTTAATAATCATAGTAAAATATTTCCATTTTGCAAATGTGTTTAGATGTCCTTGGTAGATATAGATTAGTTACATGAGATGGATAGAAAATGGGCTCAGGCCTTCGGGTTTATTTTGATGATTTGTTGTATGCAGTAAACATGGCCAGACTATTTGTAAAATTTGTTCAAATAAGATTTGTTTTATTTAAGGAAAAAAGAATATTTCTGGATTAAGTATTTCAAATGCATTATTTTTGGAGAGCTGCTACAGAGCTTATGACAAATGATTATTAATTCTCCTTAAAAATAATTGTGACCACCATATTACCACCTAAAGTACTATCTATTTTCTTAGCCTTGGGAAGACTTCACAATCATGTGTTGAATATTATTAATTTGATTTTTTAAGATTATGAGTGCCATATAGCTGTAGAATGCAGAGGTTTAATGAAATATATTGAGTGAGAACCAGAAGTCCTTTACCAATGCCTCAAATTCATTTAAATGTCTACCAATTCAATATATAAAGTTACCTTCATGAGAAATGTTACGGGATATGATTTTGTATTTGATCATAATGCTTGCTAATTATTTCCTGGTAATTATTTACTGGTAAAATGGGGGTTGGCAAATCCTAGCTAGTGATGCCACATATATGTGTTGTGGGTTACTTACAAAACTTTATCTGCCGCTTAAATTTCTAACATTGCATCATTCCCTAAATAGCCTCAAGATCCAAATACAGTTTCAGTAATACATGCTGGAAATTGGAAACTATTAAAAATCCTCATTTGCTTGGAATCAGGAGAGAGGAGGGAATTTCAAATAGTGGAATTTTTTTATTTAAAAAACAAAAAACAAAATCTTTGATCCACTGTCTCTCAAAAGGCAATTTGATAGCTAAATATAAGTCTTTTTGTGTTCTTGTTGTTTTTATTTTGTTGTTGTTGTTGTTTTGAGATAGAGTCTTATTCCTTTGCCCAGGCTGGAGTGCAGTGGCATGATCTCAGCTCATTGCAACCTCTGCCTCCCAGGCTCAAGCAGTCCTCCCACCTCAGCCTCCCGAGTAGCTATGTCTACAGGCACACACCACCACTCCTGGATAATTTTTGTATTTTTTGTAGTGTTGGGGCTTTATCATATTGCCAAGGCTGGTTTTGAACTCTTGAGCTCAAGCTATCTGCCTGCCTTGGCCTCCCTGGTGGGATTACAGGCATGAGCCACCACACCTAGCCTAAACATAGTATTAAGTTTTAAAGTTTTGTATTATTTCTATTTCTATTTTGGCAGTAAAGGTAAGTGAACAGGCATCATAGATCACAGATATTTATGTTAAAAGGCCCAAGCTGTTTGTTTGAGATTGGATATACTAGGGTCACGTCATCTTTATAACTCTATTTAATTCCCTTGCTTGCACATTAAATAGATCTAAATGGCTGGGGAAAAAGTAAAATCATACTCCTTAGTCCCCTCGGTTGTGGTAAATTCACTGCATGATAGATGGAAATTTCAGACTTCTTGGGTCTATTGTCATGTTCTATAGTTATTTGCATGTCTCACAGAGAGATCCTTACTGATTACACTGTATGGCTAAACTGACTTAGATAACTGAGCCTATTTCAAAATTGAGTTTTCTTTACAATGGAAAGTCAGTACTCTATTGTTTCTAAACTGTAGGATTGCATGCCATTTTCCCAGGCTCACAGACATTGATAAGATTTCAGGCAAGGGGAACAAGGAAGGGGTCTCAATGGAAGTGAATTCTTCCCCTTTTTCTGACTGTGTTTGCCCACCTGTCCTTTACCCTTTGCAGTTCTATTCTGAGAGGAATGTGAGGAACAGCCCTGAAGATGGGAGCCACTGCAGCTAGATTGTTGCCATTAACCAGCTTTCATAGCTTTTGTGGGAGCCTCCTTTTCATTAGTATTTGCAACATGTTCACTAGCAAAATGATTATGTTAGGCAGAGACATCACATCACTTACATTTCATAGCTCAGTGCAATTTTCATAAACTGCGAGGCAACATCCAAAAAAAACATGACTCAGAATTAGAGTTTCAGAAGATTATTATATAGACATTATTTCCCTCAGGTCACGGGCTTTAGTCAAATTTGGAGGAGAATGAAATTGCCAACAGTGAAAAGCAGACAGAAAGGTATGAGTTCATGAGCAGAGAAATAACATTTTCATTTGTTCCTTCCCCATGGGAAAGATTCAGCATTCCGGTAAATGGAGACGGTTATAAGAAATGAATTTTTGTCAGCAGGGATGTGATTTTAAGGCTCACTTATCCATTGGCAATCTAGATTTCTAACCCCAGGAATCTGGGAAATTGCTACAGAATGTAGTCTTTATTATAAACAAGTTTTTTTTGGGGGGGTGTAGTTTTTTCCTCCTTCTTTTCTTGGTCAGAGCTTTTTAAGACGAGGAACTACGTTTTTTTCTGCATTTCAGGGGCAGATGACTGCACATTTCCCCCGTCTGCCCTGAGTTTCTCTGCATTGCTGTTGCTTTGTGTTGGAAACCCATTTTTTCCTCCTCACCAAGCTTCCCTTACTCTGTTCTCGCTTTTACTAACCCCCCTGTGTTTAGCCAGCACAGCCCTGACAGTATTGAAAGCTGCAAACTTCCTATATGGTCATGGAGTGGTAGACCAGTGGCTCTGTTCCCCAGCATTTATGGGATGTCTTGTGCTGCTGCTGATTCTGTATTCTCAGTTCTTTTGTGTCTGTGAACCTGAAAGAACAAGGCAGGAAATAAAGCTTTCCAGGTAGCTCTCATTTTACCAGGTATAAAGAGCGAGATTTGCAAGGTTTCTGTACGGTAATCCCAGACAACCTTCTTCATAATTAAAGAACGTTCTTTCATGGGAAATTTTATTTTCCTTATTTGATTTCATCAGATGCTTCTCAGCCCATCACTTATTCAGATTCTATGCAGTAGTTCTTTTTCTGGCTAGAGTACATCCTTGAGAATAAAAAATATTTCATATAATCTAAACCCTTCATTTCTAGAGATGCAGATAGGTTGTGTAACATTAATCTCACCTTTATATTTTTTTGATTTTTAATAACTTGAAAATATGTATCTCTAATGCCTTCTTTCCCTATGCACTTTTGCCTATTTTAATATCTCTCAACACCATAAGCTATTTGCCCAGCTGCATTCTTATTAGACAGTGATCTTGCCTGCCAAAGCTTTTTGAAAGCAAATTGCATTGCCTTCATTATTATTATGTCTACAATATGATTATGAAACATCATTATTATAGTTGATTAATAAATGAGAATTGCTGACTCTCAGTTCATTGAATTTGGCCCATGGAATTCATAGTAATTCATAAACTTTTCTCAAACCTTCAAGGTTTCTAAAAGAACTGATTTTTCTACAAAGTACATGTGATTATATTTTTTGATTCCTAGTAAGTAGTAGTGATGGAGGATTCACTGGCCTGGCCAGAGTGAGGGTATATACTAAATGTCTGTGGGGTTTCAGTTTCTTCCTTCTGAAGTCTTTTAAAACGTGGAGTCTCTTATTGGGAGGTTGGGGACCTTCTGTTAAAGAAAATATTGAGGGAAGGCATTATATTTCAATCTCTGCAGTGAGCCATTCTTGGCATTTTGTGGAATCCTTCCTGGTATTAATTGGGGGATAGAAACAGCACCTGGCATATTTATATGACAGTAGCATGTACTCATCTTTTATATGTCATTCATTCTTTCAATAACTTAGCATACATTGCTTTATTGTGCTTGGCAGGTACTGTATTTTTTGCAAATTAAAGTTTTGTGTAAACCTTACAGCAAGCAAGTCTGTAAGCACCATTTTTCCAACAGAATGTGCTCACTTCATGTCACTGTGTCACGTTTTGGTAATTCTTGCAATTTTTCAAACTTTTCAATTATAATTATAACTGTTTTAGTGATCTGTGATCAGTGATCGTTGATGTTACTATTTTAGTTATTTTGGAATACTACAAACCTGACTCATATAAGACAGAAAACTTAATATATGTTGTGTGTGTTCTGTTTCACCAACCTGCCTTTCCCCTATCTCTCTCCTTCCCAGGCCTTCCTATTCCCTGAGACACAACAATATTGAAATTAGGTCAGTTTATGACACTGCACTGGACTCTTAAGTGTTTGAGTGAAAAAAGAGTCTCATGTCACTCACTTTAATAAATCATACTCTAGAAATGGTTAAGTTTAGTAAGAAAGGCATGTTGAAAGCCAAGATGGACTGAAAGCTAAGTCTCTTGCACCAGTTAGCCAAGTTGTGAATGTAAAGGAAAAGTGTGGAAATAAAAAGTGCTACTCCAGTGAACACACAAATGATAAGAAAGTGAAATAGCCCCTTTGCTGATATGGGAAGCTTTAGGAGTCTTGATAGAAGATGAAACCAGTTACTACAATATTTCCTTAAGTCAAAACCTAATCCATTCTAGGCTCTCTGTTCAATTCTGTGGAGGCTGAGAGAGGTGAAGAAGCTGCAGAAGAAAAGTTGAAAGCTAGCGGAGTGTGGTTTAGAGGTTTAAGGAAAAGAACTATCTCTAGAACAGAAAAGTGCAGGGTGAAACACAGGTGCTGATGCAGTAGCTTTGGCATGTTACCCAGAAGATCTAGCTAAGATGATTGATGAAGGTGGCCACACTGAACAACAGAGTTTTAGTGTAGACAAAACAGCCTTCTATTGGAGAATATACCACCTGAGACTTTCAAAGCTAGAAAGGAGAAGTCCCATGCCTAC